AGCCATCTTCAAGAATCGGCTAAAAACACATCTCGTCCATCTTTATTTTACCCTCTAACTCTAGCACTCTCTATTCTAATTCTATTCTTTAAAAAATAATGAAAAAAATCTTGTCCCTTTTAGACTTGCACTATTTATTTACTAACTACTTTTTTCTTTAAAAGAAAACTAACACTAGCTTTTCTAATCTTTTTGTATTCTATCTGTTTTCTTTTTATTTATTATATAATTTAAAAAAAAACCTTGCTACGTGTACTGCGTTAAGCTAACTGAGACTTGTTATAGCACTTGTATATCATTGCTCTTTTGTTGATTTTGATTGCTTCCATTGTCCTCATTTGTAAGTCACTTCGGATAAAAGTGTCTGCTAAATGACTAAATGTAAATGTAAATAAATAAAGAACTATATTATACAATAAATAATTATATCATTTACTATATTCATATATAATATAATATAATATATATAATAAATATAATATATAATATAATATATTGATTGATTAAACAAGAGAAAACCGCAGTTTTTTTTATTACTTTGATGAAAATGCAATGTTTACTTAGTTGTGCAATACTTAAAAGCTTCATGCCATTGTTTTAATATATATTCTTTAAATGAATATTTAATAAAATATAGATATAAAATAAATTAATTCAATATGAATATACAGATATTTAGCGCATATCTGCTCACTACAATAACACACTACAACATCATATTCACTATTATCTTACAAAAAACAGTAAAACATTACCAAATATAATCAACAGTCATGATATAAAAACACCCAACGTCAGAAACAAGCTCTTCTATAAAACCACAATTGCTGAATCCAAGTGATGAAATCTAAAAGTTTTGATCCGTCACTCACCTGTAAGGATTACTTTATAGAGTCGGATACAATATCGCAAGTAAGGAACTAAACCGCTGGTGAGATTAACGTGACTTTTAGCTGGTCATAAATATGAACACTACAGTGATAGAGAATTTTCCAAGCTTTTACTTCCATAAACTGAACTGGTTGTAGTGTAAGTACTGTGTGGGATGTGTGAGTTCATTGTTTGCACTCCATACTGTTTAGCAAACACACACAGTAGAGTTTGAAAATTAGTTTTAAAGCACTTTTGCATGAATGATATGAATGAATACTGCTGAAAAGACGCCAAAAATAAAGTCCCGACTGTACCGGACCTCATAGCAGCGACGCATCCTGCACTCATTACAGCAGCGTCCCTGTTATGACAGATTATAATTTTAAGAATCACTCTTATCTAAACCAATTTGTTGACGCATTCTGCCCTTGTTTCTGGGTCATTTTAAGGGCTCAGAAATCTTCAGCTTTCCCTGAAGGCAGCATCATGTGACAAGCATGGCTTAATAAAGCCAGTGGGCAACAAGTCCTTTAACAAGCCTTCTGTTGTCACCCTGAGGCTCAACTCCTCTCCACTGCTACTACAAACTAAAGACTACAGCGACAGACCCTGAGCTAAACAACAGCAGCTTCAGATTCGGCCCCCTCCTGAAGATCTGGATCACCTTGTTGTGTCCTAACTCAAAGCATCTGGCGTCACGCATGGAGCCCGAGTGAGTGAGTCATCCGACACACACCCAAAGTGTGCCTGTGTGTCCATATGTCTGGAGCGAGGCAGCCCTGTCCCGCAGGCGTGCTGAATTATACCGTATAAGCGCACTCGTGAGCAGACTGGCTCGCAGCTTTTGCCTGCTGGAAGCTTCTGTTGTCCTACTGAGGATATTTCTGTGCAATCAAGGATTCTCCATGCCGAATACCCTCTGACATCAACGTTTGCATCAGGGATTGTGCTTCACACGGACCCAAATGGGTGTTTAAGGTTTCAGAAAGTCCTTCTGAAGGAACTTTATGCAGTCGATTAACATCAAATAATTCAGACTCGTCCCTCAGCGTGTATAAATGAACAGGAAACACATTTAGAGTGCCCAGTAGCCTTCTTTAATATAACCACCACCTCCGCAACTAGGACTGCATGATTAATTGGAATAAAACTGAAATAGCGCGATTATCGAGTTGCAAAGGCTGCAAATTTATTTGAAACAATATGTGCTGCGTGTTTCAGAGTGAAACACGGCACTGTGTTCATTTACACATGAGCAGCTCATCAACGTGTAATGAAAACTGGCTGTGAACAAAAGAGAAGCTTGAAGGGATTACTGCAGGTTTTCACCAAAATAAAACTTTGTTGGTTTGATATTAAAAAATGCCCTAAATATTAGTATTGTAATTTTAAAGTTGTACTATAATAAATGATTACATTATTATTTTTCTTGAATAATCCATTTTTTTATTTTACAGTGAAATATTACAAGAGAATTATTTCTCATTTTAATATTTTAATATTCAGTAATAACATTAATAACGGTTTTATTTATTATATTACTTGTATATGTAATTTAATAATAATAATAATAATAATAATAATATTATATAGTTATTATTTACTGTTGTTAATATTATTACTATTAATAATAATAATACAATTACAGCTGTATTGATATATAATCACAAAATTCTTGACCGAATCAATGCAGCCCTAATAACAAGCAGAGAAAAAAGCTTTTTAACAATACATTTTTCCCTTAATCATGCAGCCCTAACCAAACCATTGTAACATTAGAAAGGAACATGATGCAACCATCTATAAAGCACTGCTCATCCCCTGAGAGCATTAGAGCAATGTCAAAATAACAATTTAGACAACTTTTACAAGAACAACTTTTTCTACTTTTTGGCTGCTATACTTCCATTTTAAGTGAACTGAATAAAGAATAAAGTGAGGTGCATGTACCTGTGTCTGCTGAGGTTGAGTGTAAGCTGGCGGTTCTTCGGTGGGTTTCATGATGGCCGGCTGTGTGTTGGCTGTGGGCGGGACTGATTTAGGGGCGGAGCCTGGCGGGACCTATAATGCCACAAAATAAAATGTGAGACACTGTAGTCCAAAACACCACACGCTTTCACCTTATTTTCAACATAATAATAACAACAACATAAGATCTTTTCCTTTCATTCATAAATCCAGACTGACTGAATGTATCTGACAGTGTTTTGAATGTTGTGGATCATTCAGAAATGAAGCAATTCATGTGCACAATTAAAGGGTTAGTTCACCCAAACATTTAAATTAGCCCATAAATTACTCACCCTGAAGTCATCCTAGGTGTATATGACTTTCTTCTTTCAATGGGCTAATTTAAATGTTTGGGTGAACTAACCCTTTAAGGCAAGGGAAAACTGTAATATAAAAGTGTTCAGTCGGCTGACTGGCAATCAGACGGGTTTGTGCTGTAAGTGTGGGCTGTTCTGGGCAGTGAGCGCTACGCTGGTACAGCTTCACTAGTTATACCACACTGTGAATGATGTTATTTGTTGGTACTGTATGTATGCTGTTTGTTTCCTTGCCTCCATTTCTCTCTTGTTGTAAAAAACATGGAAAAAAACATACTACTCAAACTAAATCTGAATGTTTACAGCGCACCTTATACACACATTTGGATGACCTACAACATTTGGCAAAATGTGCAGTATAAAACAGAGCACACGGTATGAAATACTGTATCCCACAATGCAATGTACTCGAATTGACCTTCCATTACCAGCGTGATGACAGAAATCAACATCAGCCGCAATCTCATTGTTCGACTGCATGCAAAAAAAATAAATCAGCTAAATCAGCTGTGTTTCTTTCTGAGATTTATAGGAACATTATAATATAATATAAATATATTTCTGAGATATATAATAAAATTATAATGTTTGAAATCTTTATTGTTGCATAATGCACTATTCAAAATTTTTAGGTTATATTTATTATGTAACAATGTTATTACAGTTAACTAAAACTAAAGCCATAAAACATTTGTTACTTTTCACATTTCTCATTTTCAGTTACTTTAACTTGATGTACTAAAATATCTAAAACTAAAAAATAAATACTATATAGAAATATGTTTAAATATCATAATAAAATCAAAAACACAAATTAAAATTATAATAGTATAATACTATAATAGTATCTCAATAGTGCCAAAATAACACTGGTATGTAAAAAAACACTTCTAAGCACAGACGGCCAGCCTCCCTCTTGCTCTTTTCTCAAAGTGTGTTGGCGGATGGTATTTTCGAGCCGTTCTAATTATTATTGTCCTCAGGAAACCTGTACACTTGCTGATTTTGTACATAATAAGTTTACAGCATCTCAATATAAGAGTGAGTTTGTCTCTGTCCTGGGCGTCTCACCGGCTTTGTGTCTGTGAAAGGGTTATACTCCTCCAGGCCAGGTGGGGCAGTCCGCGTTACTTGTGTCACAGATGGATCCTGCAGAAAACACAGAGAGAGGAAACAGTCTTTAAAGGAACACTGGATCCAGAACACCTGAGAAGAGATGATGCCAACCCCTCAGAGGCGTGAAAAGCGCTGTACAAATAAACTTTAATTGAATTGAAAAAACTTTAACACTCCCCTAGAGTTAAACAGTTGAGTTTTACTGTTTTCGAATCCATTCAGCCGATCTCCGGGTCTGGCGGTAGCACTTTTAGCTGTAGCTTAGCATAGATCA